CCATTTATTTCTTGATTGCTTCAAAACTCTGACTAATTGGAGCACTTCTTCCTGTATGTTTTCAAATGTTCTCTCACTGCAACTTGAAAAAAAAAAAAAAAGAATTTTAGAACGAAATAAAATTACCTTAATTCTGATTTTATAATTTTATAAAAATAAGAAATTAAATAATCAAACCCAGATTCCAGCTCCTCTCTGGGCTCACTGCAAGTAAAAAAAAAAATTATTTTAGAAAGAAATAAAACTATTTTAATTCTAATTTTATAATTCTATGAACATAAGAAATTCAAAAAATCAAACCTAGATTCAATCTTCTCATTGTGCTCAATGCAACTTGAAAAAAAAAAAAAGGATTTTAGAAAGAACTATTTTTAATTTAATTCTAATTTTATAATTCTATTAAAGTGAGAAATTAAAAACATCAAACCTGGATTCAATGTCCTCTTTGGGAACATTATCTTGATGAGAAAGTAATACGGAAGCAGCATTTCTTGAATTAGTTGTAGGTAACTCAAGTCCTTTTAGCTTGTCATAAGTATGATCAAGCCAAAAACTCTTGCTGTGCTCGGGCAATATCAGGGCAGGACACATAGCTAGTAGATACATCATGTAATCTGATACGTATTTACTGGTTTTCTTGATTTCATCGTAATCCTCTTCGGAGGAGATAACACTGGCTTCACCATCATCATGATCCTCTTGCGAGCAGCAAACACTAGTGGCAAGATGCCATACTATGATGCTGTGATCAAAGTCCAATCCAATGCTCCATTTTAGTTCATTAAATTGTTGCTCATGTTGTATTGCCTTTTCTCCTCTTGATATCTTGAATCCTTCCTCCCTAAAGAATGAGCGAAAGAGGTTGTCGTAATTGCCCCAGTCTTTCAAATAATCTGGAACTTCCACAAATTTAGTGAACCAGTATGTGCGCCACATTTCAACAATTTGACGGCCATTAGTGATCTTCAGTAGAATGCCCCATGATTGGTTCACCTTGCTTTTATTGTAACGCCAACAATATTCCAATAGATCAAATTGACCTATCTGATTTGACCACCTTTTACTTCGACGCAATAAGCAAGGGAAGCAATTTAAGGCGACCTTAAATATTTTGCGTACGAACACAATATCATGAAATTGCACAACAAGAATTGCCCAATCAGAAGAAAGCATTACACATGCTGCATAAAGTTCCAGTGCAATAGCTCCACTCAATAAGATGCCAGTTATGCCAATATCAATTCTTGAGAAATGGAATTTTGGCTCATTAATTATGCTGATAAAGAAGAGTAGTAGAACTGAGAAGGAGCTAGCGAAACTGGTCAAGCGCAATAAGCATCCTAACTTGGTGTAAATCAAAGCAGCTTTGGTGTAAACAACATCAAATATAAACCCAATTGCAGCAACAAGAAATTTGATAACATCAATCGACTTGTCACCTATTGATTTACTGAATTCATTAGCGAAATCGAGAGCACCAGTGCCTTCCATACCTGTGGTTTCTTTGATATAAGCTTTTAGCCTTTTTCTAACATCGGAAACATTATGGGATGAGAGGTAATCATGGACATCTGGTCTCATAATTATAAACAATAGATAACCATCCAACACAGGTCGGTTTGGTTTTAGATGGTCATCAAGGGCTGAAGAGTTATTGGTTTGAGGACCTTGAGGATTAAAGATATTAGAAATGACTGGTTTTGTTTTCTGTGAATTATTTTGCTTGAGACACAATATCTTCTCCACATATTTAATAATCCCAGCTAAGATCAGAGGGAAACTTAGAAACGAGATCCAAGAAAAGGTCCACGACAAACAAATGACATAAACGACGAAAATGGCTTTGACAACAAGGATGAGGAGGTGCCTAATCCAAAGCTTGTTGTCTTCAAAGGAATAAGCTGTGATGGTGTCAGGGCCACCAAGATGTAGCAAGAGTAAAGGAGCCCAGTATGCTCTTAAGACATTGGTGTCGGGAGATTCTGTATAGGAACCGGAAAGCTTGCCCAAAGTAGCAATGGCAATCCAGTCAGCACCTAAGTAGGCAAACCATAGAACGGTTTTGAAGAATGGATGAATTTTGTATTTCCTACGCCCACCTAAGACAGAGAGGACGATTTGTAAGGTAAGACTAAAAAGAACCAATCCCCTCACATCCCATTTCTGCCACGCTTCCATCAGCAATTTTGGAAATGAGCTCATAACTGAGCTTAACTTCTTGCTGTTTATAAATAAAATAAATAAATAAATAAATTGCACTAAAAAAATATAAGGATATTCTTTTCACATATATATATATATATACATACACACACAAATATTTTAGATTGCATGTTAAAGTGTAGTTTAATATATGCATTTCTAGAGC